AAACTGCTAGCCAAATTATATCGACAGGTGAGTGAAAATTTCTAGTGATAGAAAAATGCAAATATCTCAGTAATTAAGCCCTTACAATGAACGTCATTAGTCTCAAATTGTCCCCCAGGACTTAATGCATGAACCCAATAGTGCAGAACCCCTGAATTAATAAAATTAGTTAGGCCTGTATTACCGTAGCCCCTTCTGAGGTGGCAACCCCAATTGCAAAAGATTTCGTACGCATTTACACCGCTAAACGGACATGGTTCTTCTTCGTTTTGCATTAGATACACCGTTTAAAGAACGTAGATTACTATTCTTCTATTAATCTATGTACTTGCAGCTACAAATTGAGTGCTTCAGCTAAACGAAAGCTGCCCGTATAACGGTGTACGAGCTGTCCAAAGTGAACTAACCGGGGTACGCATGACGAGATACAGTGTCAACCGTTGCAAACAAATGCGATGTTAACAATGTTCTTGTAATTACTAGTGTCCAGCCGTTAGAGAATAGTACTCTCCGTTCTTTAAACGTTGTACCTAATGCAAAACGAAGAAGAATCATGCTCGTTTAGCGGTGTAAATGCGATCGGCACTCATTGTAAACCGGGTTGCCGCTCCATAAGGGTCAGCGTTGATACAGCCATAAATAATTTTGCTAATTCTCGGGTTCTGTAGTATTGGGTCGTTGCAGTAAGTTCTCAGGAATAATTTGAGACTAACAACGTTCATGTTTAACGCCTAATTGATGAGATATTCGCGTTTTTCCAACGGCAGAAATTTTCACTTACCTGTCGGTATAGTTTGGCTAGCAGTTTCAGCGATTCGCCACGGATGGCGCCACCGGTCGAAAAAATAGTGGTACTCCGCGATTAAATGCGATTTTAACAGTGTTCTGGTTGTTTATTGGTATTAACAATGACAGTGGATCAATCTACGTTCTTTTAGCTTCAAACTGAATGCTTGGTCAAGACGAATGCTCTCAGCATATTATTAAATGTAATCTTAATACTCTAAAGCTATTAATACAAAATAATGGTTAATGGTTTATTCTGTTTATTGGATAGGGGAAATTAAATAACTTTCTACTGATTGTTTAATTACAGTATTAAAAATGGGAGAAGTTTAAATATATATCTTCTAACCTCGGCCTTCTTTTAACGTTTTCTCTTTCTCACTCTAACTACCCGGCCTCCCATTCCACGACCTCCTATCCTGTTCTGTGCCCCTAGTAAGACGAGGCGATTTTTCCCGCAATTTCATAATCAAAGATGGTGGTTACGATCGTTGATTCCAATTATTATTTACCGCCTTAGCCGTAAGATACTGTTTTAATAGTGGCATGAATCATTCACGTGACAAAATGTAATTCGTTTGACAAGTGGCGGCATCCGCGGCGGAACGCTCAAACTGGTAGCCAAACAGTTTCAAGAAGTTCCCGCTAGATGGCGCGGGAGGTAGTTAAATCTAATTCGAACAAAAATTTGTCGTCACTCTACAAACCTTCAAGTACAACTTCGTCGATTTGGAACCAAAATGTATGTATGTAAGAGTTAAAAAAATTAATTTGTAAACTCATGCATCTCCCATCGTAAATATGTTCGAATGGACAAGGTCTCAAATAATTGTCAACAATTAATTGATGTGGAATTTGATAATGATGCAGTCTACATTTTGGAATATCAAGTGTGCAAAAATTTTGTCTTAACAATTAGTAATTAATCAATTTCTACAGAGTGGTACATCTAATTAGAAAAAGACGGGACAAGGATATCTCCTTCTCGTTCTAAATGTTCATCCTCCTTGTCTACGACCTCTTTCACTGTTCTGTGATCCTGGTACCAGAACTCCAAATTTGCCGTGATTTCATAGCCAAAGGTGGCAGCTAGATTTCCTATCCATTTCGCACAGTACGCTCCTTTTTCTCATTATTCATCATCATAGAAGTTTACTTATTTTATTTCAAAGAAAATACGTTATAATTGATGGATTGAATTGAAATCATTATTAAATTATAATAGTAATAAGTATTCCGGTGATGATAAAATAAATATTACATAAATTTGTTCCAAGCTTCTACTTGATTTATTTTCATTTTTCTGTATCGTGGACACTGTTTCCCAGGAAGTTGTCATCCATTTTTTGCATTTCAACATTGGCATCCGAGAATCGTAAGAATGACGGTTGTCTTCCGCGAAGGAGGAAGAAGATACGGTGTGAAAATGTTGAAGAAAGGGGGACAGGATTTGCGCAATATCGAACGAAAGTTCCGCGATTAGAGAAGAGAACGAGAGCCTCGGGGCAACGTGAAACCAGAGCCTTGACATTTTCTTCGTTTCTTTCTGCGTATGGTGTACGTTCACGGACCTTTTCTCCGTGACACTTGACAACGAACGGTATTTATCTTTTATGGTAACCATCTGAGAAATTGAGAAAATCAGTCAGTGCCTTGGGACCCGCGGAAATCCAAAATGGCGGAGGGGACCGAGGCCATTTTGGAGAACACTAAGATCACAACAGCATACTGGCCAAATCTTACCATTCACTTTCAATAGAAGCTTTAAGAAAACATAATAGAAGTATATTTTAGAAAGAAACTAGAAAAATGTTCTATTTTCTTGTTTTTAGAATGAAGTAAAGCTTCCTCGATCTGGATCTCTCATAGTTCAACCCTAAAATCAATTTTAAGTTGATTACAACGAAGATTCTGTAATATTTAATCCGCTACTATCTTAATCACTTATGTAATTTTATTCTTATTATTAGTATGTCTCACCTTAATCCTAGTATTTGTTGTATCTATGTGCCGGAACGTCCTGAGTCGCATATTGTAAAATAGGCTTTTTACTCGTAAAAATGAAATGAAATTACATTAAATTAAGTTAAACTAAATATGTAGGTATGCAGAAAGAGTAATACCTAATGATATGCTTCGAAATTCGTCACTATCCACCCTCGAAGTAAATTTCAAGAGCATCAGAAACAAAATGGACTCTTCCACTAGCAAACTTCCTCAAATTATACTAACCCAAATCACAACAATAAAATCAAATACTCCACTAAAAAGGAATCTGAGCCGTCAAAAACCATCGAAATAACTCTAAATGTGACAAACAAACGAAATTAAAGTAACTAACATAACCTAAAACACGGGCCATCATCAATAAATAGATCGAAAACTCTAAAAGAAGCCATCTCCCGTTGCTAATCTGCAATTATTTCGATTAAACGGTCGAAAACAGATATTACGCAACGATGTTCACACAATCTCGATGCTAAGGACCCTAGTCCAGGTCCTGGAACGACGAAAATCAGTGATGAACCGGACAAGTGGTGGTCGTGTGATGTTCCCTCCTCCCCTCTCGCGACCAAAGATGATAAAAGCTCGTGGGGCACAGTCTGGCGGACGTAGTGTTCGTTTTGGTAGCGGGACAGCAGCAGTAGCTCGAGATGGCCTCGAAGACGATCGTTCATCTGGTGATTGCCTGCGGCTTGTTCGCGATCGCAGCCTGTGAGTAAATCACTGAATCCCCGCGGTGATCGTATCTACGTGAAAGCGAGACGAGGATTTGCGCAAACATCCTCCACAATGGACACTGTGTGACTAATCCTTGGGCATAGGCTTCGATCGTCCTTTCGATCCCTTTTGGAAGGATTTTCTCAGTGAACGTATTTAGGTCGTTGACCAATTTAGTTGGGGGATCTGTTAATCTTCGAGGATGTAGGGTTAAGATCCTGGGTTCGATATTTAGATTCTGGGAATCTTCGACGAGTGTGAAGGCGAGATTCAGGGCTATAATTGAGGATTCTGTTGATATTTGAAGCCATGGAATTGACAGAGCTGGGGTCCTAAATCGTTTCAGTTGTTGGGCAATTGCTCTTCCAGGATCGATCGTCTGGTGTCTGGTCTAGTATTGGACATCTGGTGTTTGGAGGACAGTTCTTTGGATGGATAGAGTCAGGTGTATCTGGATACCCTGCTTCATTTTTTATATACTGCCCAAGAGTCGATGGATAGTTGCTAGGCGACTGAGTCCTAGAAGAGGTTAAATGGTGCTATCAGTCCTGTAGTGATCCATAGCTACCTTGAAAGATGTAGGGGGTATCTCTTCTTCTTAGTCCTGATGACCTAGGATTGAAATTCTAGGCCCACCAATAGTGAGTGACATCATCATCCTTTGTAGATCCAAGTGTCATTCTCATTAAATCTGGTCCTTCCAACTTGTGAATATACTTTCAGCTCATACGTGGCCTGTATGCAGTTAAGAATAAGAGATAGAACTGTCTTACAATTAGTCCTCTAGTATTTCTTGGAGGATACTATCAATCCAGATATCTGATTCTCTATTTGTCCTTCTAATTTTTACAGCTTCTCAGGTCTCCAGTTGATAGATCCTCCAAATCCTGGATTTCTGATAGATAAATCTAAGTTTCTAGATCTTCCAGCAATTTAGACTTCTAGTTTCTAGATTCCTCTTAGTCTCTATCTCTGCTAACCTGTTCTTAGAATACCAGACGTAGCATATTAATCCCTTTAACCACTCAAGAAACTCTCCTACCAGCATAAATTCTAAAGCACCCTATTTACATACCACCACGAAACCGACAGGATCCTCCGGGATTCCCCGGATTAAATCACCCCAACTTCCATCACGATGTTTCGTCCCCAACTGCGTTCAAGCACCGATGACGCAACGCCCGATAGCTTTGAATATTTCACCACCGCAGGCCAGTATCGCCAGACGAATTTCAATGGGTCGAACTATTTTCGTCGATTGGCCACAGGTAAAACCTTCACCTGATTAAATCACAAAACATTGACCAAGTGGATCCTGGACCTTGATCACAATGAAGATATAGTTCTCAGGTGTAAACCTTACAGAATTAATTTTCCAACGTTTCAAAAACATTGTAGGTAGAATTACATACAATTACTCAGTGTCATCGTTAATATCAAAGACCACAGCCTGGGTGCCCGAATGCCTCAAAGAGTGTGAGAACTGTCTCTTCAGTTTGACAATTCACTTGGCCAGTATTTTCTGATTATGTGAAGATTCTAAGTACCTGGTTAAGGTGGCCAATGGACAGAAACAGTTTGAAGCATTAAAATTCCTTGCAGGGGCTGTGAAAGCCTGAAATCGTTAACTAAAGTGAAGATTCGACGTCACAGCTTCCGGAAACACTGGTCCATCCAACCGACCTGTCGTCCAACGGACGTTCATTCAGGGGCCAGAGTCCCCATATTTCGCAATCCTATATTATGCTAATGCAGAGGCTTCGCAGAGGTCGCATCGCATCGCCGAACTTTCTCCGGCGTGGTGTGTGCACGCTCGCGTTGGAACCGGTTATTTTTTCGTCTTCAAGGTGTCTGGGTTATGCAACGGGGCCCCCTCCGACAAGTTACCCAATACCACCTGCGATCGAGGGATTCACCTGTAAGAAGGTACAAAAATTAGGGAATTTCGTTGGACATACTTTTTCGAAAACTACCAAACGATCCTTAATAGCATAAAATATTGAATATATATTCATACAATATTAAAAAGACATTCAATCTCTTTTTAATATTTAAATATACGTACAATGTTTATTTCATATTACGAACAAAATATTTTCTTCCCAATATAAAATAAATATGTATTTAATATTTGAAACAAAATATTTTTTTCCAATTTAACATAAATATGTATTTAAGTTTTTATTCAGGAGTGAAAGATTCTTGGGGTCCGAAATGACCTAGTCACTTACGTTAGTGATCCGTGCGTTGAAGGTTAACCATTTAGAGGAAGGATCTATTTAGGGTCACGATGGACCCGGCCATAGGCGTAGATGTTGAACGAAGAGTTTTGGATCACTGTTGATCCAACATTTCGCTTCCATGAGCCCTGCTTTGAGGGTTAAGCGTTTGGACGTAAATAGGGTCTATGGTCGCGATTGACCCATCCATAGGCCCTGACGATCTATCTAGCAATTTTGGAGCAACATCAGATTTATTGTTTCCTGTCTGGAATGACTGTGAAAGGCTTTACAGCCTGATGGAGAATAATAAATGTTTTGATTTATGCTCGAAGACGTCTGTCGAGAATCGAGCGCGTTCGGAATTGGACGAACAGATTGACGGAAGACGATATAAATTACAGGGGTTTCGTAAATCGGTTGAGAAACGTTTGAAATACTGAAACGGGCGACAGATTAATGCTCGCCTGTTTGAAATTAAGATTCGCGTAATAGCCTCGTCGTTCTTCGGCCGTGTCGGCGGATAAACGTTACGTAAGAAGTTATGTTCTCCTGGTAGTCGCGCGGAGTGCTCGATACTGCAGTGAATTCGTAACTTTCGCGTGTTCCAGGGATCGAACCTAGAATAATTCTGGAATAATGATTAACTTGTAATGATTAACTCTACAAAACTTTCCCTCAGATGCAACCCAGATAGCACAAGACGCACAATAACGCCTTGAAGACGGCTTAAAGACGCCTTAGACCTAAAATAGACGTCATGTGTTATCTGGGAACGAATTTTTCACTTTCTTTTGGACCCAATAAGATACTTAAGGAAAGAAAGAAATTTCTACTTTCGTATTTCTCTTTATGAACAATCTTCTAAAATGTGATTTTCCATAAAAATCCGTAGTTTAGGAATATTCGTGTGAAATATAATTGGGAGCAGTAAAGACGAAAATTTGAATATTGTTTATTCTTACAGCCCTCAGTCAGTATCAGCGTTTCTCGGCGACAGGGAATCAATTGGATCATCAAGTCGCCCAGAGACAATCGTCAGCCTCTTGCCCGGAGAGGAACGGTCGTTTCCCGATCGGTAATCAGTGCGACGCCTATATAGAGTGCATCGACGGCGTCCCTGAAGAGAAACTCTGCCCCGAGGGTCTGCTCTTCAACCCCGAGGCGAGATTTAATTACCCGTGCGGCTACCCCATTGACGTCAACTGCGAGGGCAGACCTAATCGCCGTCAGTACCTCGTTATTTATTCGTTCTATTTTCTACATCCATCGATATAATATTTTTAACCGTTTATCTTCTTGAAGATGATCCATAATAGGGGATGGTCGGCGGTCCTTTTGGTGTCCATTTTGAAACTGGAAGAAAATTATGTTATTCATGAATATTTTATATTAAAATGAATATTTTTAATATTCCTAGAGACAGTGGCTTAATTTATATTTATAAATCGATGAGTTAGATATGGGTTTTAAACACTCGGGTCCAAATGGACTCGGTCACCGCACTCCAAGGGTTAAATAATTTTTTGGTGAAATCTGTGTTATTTTTGAGATGAATGGGGCGATTGGACCCCAGAAATTGATGAGTGGCTGACATGAAGGCAAAGTTGAATATTTTTTTAAAGATTTGGCTTTGATAATACAGTTTAGGAGGATTCAATCCCTTTTGATTTACAAAAATTTTAAAGTCTGTACTGTTGATATTGTAAAATTGAAGAATTTTAACAAATATCTACCTACTTCTGTACTTCACCAAACTACTAGTCCAGCTCATAGAGAGGGGCCCATTATACTACCTAGAACAATATAATTGTTATTAATTGAATAGTGAAAATGCAATGCGTTATTTAATATTTTGTAATTTGTTAATGTATCTTAATTTTATAGAACCTCCACAGCCAACAAACGACTGTCCCCACCAGTATGGTTACTTCAAAGTCGGAGACTTTCAGAACTGCGGCCAATTCATGAACTGTGCTGACGGCAGGGGCTACGTTTTCGACTGTCCCGAGGGGTTGGCATTTAACCCTGAAAGTTACAGGTGCGACTGGCCGGATCAAGTTCCCGATTGCGACGCAGAGGGTAAGTGGTTTTTCCAGTTTCACTTTAACTTTCGTCACTGATGCCACTTAAAGCCTCCCCATAAATCAGATGGACACATTTCAGACTTAAATACACTTATTGGATTTCATTCAATCAAATTCTGGAATATTAATCCTCTAATGAATTCAAATTACTATATTTTACTACTATTAATTCTATTAATTTCTCCATTAATCAGAATTATTTTACAAACAATTTATACATCAACATTCAGACAAACTTAGGGGATCACTTTAACTTCTTTAAAATGGCCCTATACCTTCCCAACCAAATTACAGTTTGGAGTATTAATCTTCTGATTAATTCTGATTAACTCCTCTTTGGAGATTCTGCAGGCTTTATCTTTGAATCGGTATTGTTTAACAAATGGAATATAGATCAAGATTCAAGATCATTTAAATCTTAAATTACACTTGTTACAATAATTAGGAACACTTCTTATGCTAGTTTACATGTGTGGGATTAATTAATATTGATGTTAATGATCAATATTTGTAGCCTTCCTCGGCTTCCGGTGCCCAGAAGTGAAGAGCGACGATTTCTTCGGTGCTACACAGTTCTACCGTAGTGTGCACGATTGTCAACGCTACTACGTTTGTGTAAACGGTCGCCCAAGACTGCAAAATTGCGGCGAAGGAAACGCATTCAACGAACTTATCAACACCTGTGACGCGGCGGTAAACGTCACTGGATGGTAAGATCACACTTTTTTTGAATATCTTAGAAAATAGTACAAATATCTTTCTCCTCAATAAGTTCAATTTAAATTTCTTTACATTCTTCTACCCCTCCTCTGTGTAACTTTGATTTTTTAATCCACATTCAATGATAATTAACGCTATTTTTTTTACTTTTACAATATATGATTGATTATTTTATTTTTTCCAGTGAGCCACCGGAATCGTCGATACTGGACAGGCAAGTGAGCAGACCTCTGTTTTGAAAGAAGATTCCAAGAACGCCTGATGCCATAATTGATAATGTAAATATTTATATGTAACTAGATATATCGTAAGAATCTTGCAATTATTGTTGGTACAAATTTGTATAACGATTTGTTTAATATAAAAATTGTTAAGATACGTTGGAATATTTTTTTTCACCATATGTCACCTCCATTTTGGAAACGGAAATTCGTAAAACGAGGGACAGTGCACATGTTAATCGTGCGATCATCCGATTTTCTTGTTTATTAATCGATTTGTACACGTGACTTTGCATTAATCATCGAACTTTTACACCATACATTATGCGGCCACGGGGCTTTATCTCTAACACATAGAGAGCTCATTTACGTAAAATATTTATGGTGGACATTTAATTTTTCAAATGGAAATACACCTTAAACGCTACACGATTCTCATTTTCACGACGGTCAGCCCCAAATTAAGTCGGCAATTAACGAATCTTTGAGCAGAATCCGGTTTCTGGATTGTGAAGTGAACGGAGAACATGATATCGGGGGGTTTCAGTTCTAAAAGAACTGCATTTATATATAAAAAATTTGGCCATGGAGGCAAAATCAGTGAAATAAAATTCTCGATTAACTAATCTACGTTCAATTTACGACTGAATATGCATTAATCGACCCGCTTGTTCAGCGAACCACGACGATGAGTAAACTACAGTATAATAATAATTGCAAATCAGTGGATTTTACCTCCACGACCGTGATATGTATAATTCATACGCTCTCGGATAATTAATACGTTAAATGAAATTACGCGCAGTGAAACATACAATGTATCTATAATAGTAACAGAAGTTGTTCTACCATTTTGTTGCACTGGAAAATAAACGATGGGAAATTTCATTTTTTTTTTTTTTGAGATAATTGACGACGAAGTAGATCCTGATCACGATCGAGGATCACCGTGTGCATTCGATTTGACGAAATTTTGATTAAATAATAATTATAATGTTTCAATATTTAAAGAATTTTTCAATTATCATCGTGGATAATTAATTACGCGTCTCAGATGCACACGGCGAATTTCCAATCGACTTATCCACGCGATCTCATTGCATCCGTGATGTATTATCCACGCCCGCCCACACGTGCATAGACACTCAAGTGTGTATACATATATAGAAACATCCATATCTGTTTGCAATACAGAGAAACAGCACACAGTGTACTCTTCGCGAGTAATTAATTATTACTACAAGGGAACACACGAGGCACGGTGAAGCCACGTTAATCCGGATTAAATACGGTAATACACAACCTAAAACGTTCCTCAAGGAATTTCAGAGGGAGCTGGTATTCGCTGATTATCTGCTGAATCTACGGATCCGAATTAACGGGATCCATCGGGTAAATTTCACCGGGATTGGAAATATAACAGCGTAGAAAAATAAACGGTTAATCCCTTTCCAGTAATATTTCATCACCTTTTCTCATTCTAGTGTAAACTTTGACTGCGTTTCTTTGGGATCGATGGTGCAGAGTGAGAGAGGGACATATTACAAAATTGTTCACGCGTTGACTCCCACGTCTGACGACTGTTTTCTGTGTTGGTAAAATGCAAAATCTTAGAAAATCCTAATCATATAAGCGAAGGGAACGGAAGTACCCTGAAGAAAGTAGCGTTATATGGCTCGAAATAAATATTTACAATAAATAACACGGTTCCTTATGTTCTATCGTTATTAGAAAAATAATGAATAGAGCGCCGAGATGACTTTCGAGCAACATTGCTTGTAACGTATCTCTCAAGTTCACTCTCTGAAGTCATCAGACTTCTCTGTAACCAAATGACTGTTCAATGGCGGTTCCTGTAGTGTGCAACAATCGTAACCGGTTGTGCACGAGGAAAACCGGTCTGGAAGGGAACATTAAGAGTCTCAAGGTGGCCCATGGTGTAAGTTATGCAATTCATAGGCAAGATGACAGCACTCTGAATCGCTCCAGCGGTGTTCGTCCCGGACTCTATCCGTGTTGATCCCTGTGCAGGGTGTGACCTCAGAGACCTGAGTGAACAAAGAAAGATTTTTCAATTGTCTGGATCCTTCAGAACACCAGGGATAAAGAAACTCACATTGGAGCAGAAAGATAGCAACGACTGATCCGTGTATTGGCTGCAGAGGGGTGACGTGTGACTGATCTGTTGGCCCTGGTTACCGGTATGCGGGGCCTGTCCATTTCCTGTGATCTCCAGGTAACCCCTGCTGCTCGCTAGACTACCTCCTCGCGTACCAATATCTGGAAACGGTTCCAAATCAACTGTTAATCGGTCCCCTACGTTACCATTGCACATTGGAAGCAACACACCAAGTGGAAGAATCAGACCAGAAATGAGAAAGAAACCAGAAAGCAAGATTGCGAGGCTCGAGAGTTCTTGGGGAGTCAACATTTAGGGTTTCTGGGATGCTTTGTTTCTGTCATAGAACCTTCGATCGCGGCTACAAGAGATAGACCAGAGGATTTTCTGGATAGAGAGGACACCTTGTGTACTCGCCATCGAGTGAGTAGACCGACGAGCGGTCCTGTCGTGGTAGAAGCATAGCCAGGGGTCCTTCCACCACGGCGGCCGCTTGGATCGTTGGCCAAGCTTCGAGGCGTTGCAGCTGCAAGTGCTACCCGAGTGGGTGGACCGTCTGGACATCCATCTAGGACGGAGACGGGGCAGCCTCTGGCTTCTGATCGCCCTGGACACCTCTGTTCGGACCTCCCCGTTTAGGAAACAGTATAGAACAGCCACGAAGAAACCCTGGAACGAGCGAAGAATGTAGGGAATAATTATCGGAATGTTCAAGTGGTCGAATGAAACGGGACTTATGCAGCTAAGTAGCAGAGTTGAGGGTTTATAGTGAGGAAAATTTGGTAAATGAAGAATCAATACCTGAAAGGAGGCAAACAACTGGTCACAGAACAGCCACACAACCTCGACAGTCTCGTTCACACCAATACTGTAGGACATACCCAGAAAGACAGTGTAATGGACCCCGAAAAGCGGTACCAAGACCAGAGTGCTCTTTGCCCATCTCCTGCAAAGTGTCAAAAGTTTTTGATGCTTAAAGTTATTGGCGTTAAAATGGAACGGTTGATGATTTGCTGAAACGATAGTTTCCAAAGAGTGATTGGAAGCTGGGTTAGAGCAAATAGCGTTATATACTGAACACGTTTTGAGGTTACGTTTCGAACTGACTTGTATCTTTGCGTCTCCTCCGAGACTGTTGACTTCAGCTTCAACAGCAGCACCCGGACTATGTTCACGAACAGCACAAAGTTAATCTGCAGACGAGATAAATAGTGGAGTAACACATAAATTGAATATTGCGTGTGATATTCTTGGAAGTTCCAAATCAGATGACAATCTTACAAGAATGGACAGCATTGTAGGCACTCTGATGAGGTGAAATAGGTAAGGATTCTCATGTGTGGTCCAGCAGTACTTGTTGTCGAGGGTCACCCTTGCCACGATCCAACAGGAGACGAATATAGCTGGCAGGCCTGGATCAGAAGCAATGATTAACCTATTTGTCTTTCTGTGTTTATGTTCTTTCCACGATACAGAATGGTCCGTGAAGCGACTCACCCCATCCAAGGCACACGTAACCAGCTATACTCGAGTTCACGTCGGTGAACAACGCCAGGAACACCAGGTTGTGCAGGTAGAGGCCTTCCATCAGTATCCAGAAGTAATTGGCCAGGATGAAATACTGCCAGAAGCTTGTGAACGCCTTGCACAGCCAGCTACTCTCCTTCTCGTCCACCAGCCAGTAGGTTTTTCCATTCTTGATCATCATGTCCGACGCCAGGGCGATCCCAGAGACGAACAGGATGTCCTTCATCAGGGCCATGAACGCCCTCAGCATGAACGAGGCAAAGAGGTGCATGTGAAGCATGTTCCTGGGGCATCTTAATTTCCTACGTCCAATTCGGGATAAATTTGGAGTAGTGATCCGAGGATTCGACGGTCAGACATCGTTGGAGAATTTGTTGTCACCGTAACAGGCAAAACAATGGGCACACACTTCTTTGAGAAGTTGAAAGATAGCTGTTCGATCAGCCATTCGCAAATCCATGTGTATTATTGGCCATGAAGTTTCAAATGAAGATCTACGTGATCTTAGGAACTATAGACTACAAGACCTGGTAATTGATATTTAAGAGGTGGATACTGAATACTCTGGATCTTGAGTTATAGAGCCTGGAATTCGGTGTTTCCTGATGTTTAGATCATGGATTTAGGGTTTAATTTGGATTTTGGGATGGAATATTGAGCTGATACTTACTTGATCACCGCCAGAATGAAAAACGCAACCACCAAGGTGAAGAAGGAAACGGTGTAGCCAACTTTCGATATAGTCTTCACTATCGGAATGAATTTCTGTAACACAATATTTAATAATTAGATTGTTTACGGGTTCCTCAACAGGCAGTTACCGTTGTAATTGACTTATGGAGGCGGTTGGCTAGGAACGTCATCAATAAACTCCCGCTGCTACCATAAACAAGGGACCTTGAGCTTTATTTTTAACATTAGTAACTGGCCTCGACGACAAAGGGTGTTTTTGGAAATTCTAAAACACAATAGAAGTCGGACAGTGATTACAAATGACTCGAGGCGAAACAACAGAGAACACAATGTACTATAATCGTTGCCAGAAGTTGTCTGGTTTTCGACTGAAAAACTCCCGACGTCATTCACATAATTCCCCATCGATTTACAGTGGCTGCCAACATCTACTGTTCCATTTGGGATTCACTGCCTCCTCCGTAATTTTCTCCGTAGAATCTCTCCTCGACTAACGAGTTTTTGTCGATTGACAAATTGAAATATTTAAGCGGCCAACCGACCGTTAAAGTTTCATTAAAACTTCTGGCTACGTTGACGGCACTTCTGCGACGTTCTAAGTACTGTACATTTTATGATTAAGTATGCCCTGTTAGGAGTACCTTCATGAGAATATCTTGTTAAGAATAACTCGTTATAAAAGCCAGTATAGTTAAATAACACCTGTAATCCTGTTACCCTATAGTAAACCTTTTTATCAATCATATATTACCTTACCAAGAAGTCTTCCTAAACTTAATGTCCAATTGCTAACCCCTAACCATCAATACCCTAGAAAGAAGTCTTCTTAAATCTAATGTCCAACTGCCAATCCCTAACAATCCATACCCTAAAACTCTGCCAGTTAAGCGTGAATAATTATGTGACCAATACCCTATTAGCAATAGCAAAAAGTCTTCCTAAACTTAATTTCCAATTGCCAATCCCTAACAATCAATACCCGAAAGCTAAGCCTTTAGTATTACATTTGTAACACTTTACCCTCATCTTTAAACGCTGCAAACTACAATTTTTCATATAGGCCATTTACAAGAGAAGTAATTGTAGCATGTGAATATCTTCAATACTAATTTGTTAAGGTGACCATTCATGGCAGCAAGCTACCGCAAGCAGTTTCTAGTTCCCGTATTCCCTTCAGCTGATTGAATCCAAAGGCTTAGGCTCTTTGTCTCCTCTCAAACTGCTTGGAAAAGGAGTCCCTTGGAATGTAGTCTTCAGTGCAAAGTATTCACCTTGATGACAGTGTCGTTGTTCTCCTGACCGCCTGGTAGCTCCATCACAAGCGTAACCAACGATTCCCTGTAACACTGGCTGTAGTTGCTCCAGGTGGTGTGGGTGTCATTGTTCAGGAACCAGTGGCCATCCTGCATGCACTGCCTGGATGCGTTCGCCTGCGAATCAAACGGTTTAACTGACATTAGCAAGTGGGGGGAATCTCACACCTTGATGCAATCCAATTTGGTCGTGTCCAGAGGACTCTAATGGGATGGAATTCCCCCAGGACTTCGCCTAAACTTTAAGAAGATTGAGCCTTTCAGATTGCTTATTGACTAAAGTGTCTGAGAAGTAATTTTGAAGGCACCAGTCTACTCCAAGGTGTATATTATTAGATGTAAGGCTGGACTTTAAATTGAAATTCCAGAAGAGGGACATGTTGGATTTTTTTGAAAGAGGTGAAAAGTGGGTTTGAGTGGAGTTTGAATATTTAATCAGTAGAAGGTGGAGGAAGGAAGCCCAAAATGGGTTGTATTTGAATTTTAAATATTACCTGAATATCAAAGCCGGCTATATAAGACGGACAGGGCAAAATGGCGAGATCCCCAGGTGCGGTTGATGGCCAGCATAGTATCTTGTCCCAGAACTCGGGACACCAACCTGCGCCATAAAAAATTGTGGCCATTTAGAGACTGGCCGACACGTGTGTTAAACCCTACTATATATTTTTTAATCAGTTTCTTTATGAAACTTTGTTGAACAATATTATTTATAAATTTCTAGATTCTTTCTGTTTTTTTTTTACATCAAACAACATAAGAAGGTTTTAAGTTTCGCGCTGTGTCTCATTAACATGGTTTGCTATCGATGGAAAAATCAATCTTTTAACGAAACGCTCGACTGAATGAATGGTTCAACACATCGGACAGGATATCTATTCGCGTTTCGGGTAACAATAGAGCGCACGATTCATCGCGACACCGTTCTCACATTTCTCACTTTCCTTGTCATATCTGGAAACAGTAGAACCGAATTTTGTAGGTAGTTTTGTGCTGCAAGACCGTGTAAACAATCCTAAATTCTAGGAAAGTTGTTTGTACATTTTCAGGATGGCTTTGTCAAGAAATTTTTTAGAAATTTCTATTTTTACAGGGTATTTTATCAAATAAAATAAAATATAAAATTATAATAAATCAAGTAAGTTCTATACTGATTTTTTACTGAACTGGTTTTTCGGTCAAATTTTTAATTATTAAGGTAGATCCTTAAGATTCTATTATTATAACACTCCACGCCCGTTACAATAACTTATTCTTATTATTATGAATTATAAAATTTTATATATTGGATTCCATCAAAACGTATAAAATTTTATAAATTGAATTATATTAAAATTTGTAATATTTGATAAATTGGATCATATTAATATTTATAATATTTTACAAATTGAAATATACCAAAATGGCGCCAGTGGACACCGTAGCAGTCAATACATTAACCATTTGCCCATTCATACTGTTAGTCGTACAAAACTGCGCCTGGACTTTACAATCATTCCCGTATATTGTTCTTAACAATAGAAATTCCGCTTTTTCGACGCTTTTCACATTTCGCCCACTGTTTCGTGGCAAGTTACGGAACTAGTTCCCGGAAATTCCATTTTCCATGCTTGCTTCCGAGTTCCGTCATATCGAAGTTTATGGGTCTAATCCGTTTTGCAGTTCCGATTCGACGGTGTCGAAAGTCGAGTTAAAGGGCTGCGCGAACCGCGATGAATTCCGATCGGGCGACCCCGGAGGAACCGGAAGTGGGCCGCACGTGCCCGGAACGGGCGCACGCGGCGTTATTGGACGGTAATAACGGCTTCGTGACGCTGGAAAAAGGCAAAAGGGCACATGAGTTTTACCGTCTTCAAATCCGCCGTCAATTCGTGGCCGTTTTAACAAGGAAACTTCGCCACATATCCCCAAAAATTCCGACTCCCTTGTAAACTCCGCGGGTTTGTAGGGGACCTCGATAGAAGCATCAAGCAATTTTTCGTTTTTGCTGTTATTCGATTCTTCAGGGTGAAACCGCCCCTTAAATGTCAATTTGTCCTTTCCTATTTTCCAATATATCTTGGAAACTATAGAAGATATTAAAAAACTGTTGGAATGAAAGTTTAATGGATTCTTGTACTCTGCAAAGTATGTAATGAAATTGTTAAAAATTTGTTTATTTATGTATTTGTTTATTTAAAAAACAAATTTTTAACAATTTCATTAGATACTGTTGCAGAGCATAAGAATCCATTAAACTTTCATTCCAACAGTTTTTTAATATCTTCTATAGTTTCCAAGATATATTGGAAAATAGGAAAGGACATATCAAGGTTTAGGGGGTGGTTTCAACCCGAAGAACCGAATATCAGCGAAAACCCAGGTCCTTTACAAACCTGGGGAGTTTAAGAAAAATCAGAATTTTCGCGGGACCGAAGCTCTCTTGTAAGTAAACGAAAGGAACGTTTTCAAGACGAGATTTTATCACGCCCCGCGGAAATTCCACACGAGACCCCGTTTTCTCGCGACTTTCTTCGCAACTTTCGGGAAAAATATTATCAGGAAATCTCGCAATCTCGTTCCTCAGAGACAGACAATTCAACCCTTGCAAACTTTTCTAACATCTAAAATTATGGTAATGGTTTTTTCGGAGATTTCTTCTGATGATTTATTCCGATAGAATCTTCTAAGTATCACTTCAGTTCGAAGATGAATTTATTCAAACGAATAACGATAACAAATAGACTGAGGAAGGTTTATGCAAATTTTTGATTTTAGATACTGATTTGTGAAAAATTCAAAATTTGATAGAAGTGTGCATCCTAGATACAAAATATGTATAGTATTAAACTTTATGAAAACCTTTAATTTATTGCTATGAATGCACAATTATCGACGGTATAGTAGCAAATATTAACAATCAATCATTCTATACTTTTTGGAATGTGTGAACAATATTTTATTGTCATCATTGTTTTCTGGTTAGCCAACTTTGTCAACTGAACACATTTCGCGGGAAAATTGAATTTGTCGAAACGAATTGCCGCTGAAATACGATGTGATTGTCACAATGGTGGTAATAGATCGAGTTTCATCGAATGGAGTTAAATGTTCAACACACGTCATTCCTATTGCTTTTCAACGAAGAGTTGAATAAGGTCGGCCAATCGAGAACCATCGGCGGGCATCGATTTTTCATTAACCGATTAGTTGCGAAATATGCTTCCTGTCACCCGACACTCCATAATTTAATTGGCTGTCTCCTCTTTCCTGGCTCGTTGCCTGTTAACCATTTCTTCATCGATCCAGGCGAGACGTGATCGTCCTCATATTAATTAACGTCTAATTAAACAGTAAACGACGTTCATAATATTATTAAATCTTCCATAAATGGAGAATAATAATTCAGAGAATTAACACGAATCGAAATTACCTAATCTCAAAAAGACCATCAGTATAATGTATTTACATAGTTGATAAGTTAATTTAAATATTATTGCAAAAGTTATATTTTGCCTTCTCAGCTAGGCCTTCTCGACATATCAAAGTTCAAAAATGTACAATCAAACTATTACTAAAAATTAAAATACCATTCAGTCACCAAAAGAGAGTAGATAAAGATTGTAATTCGATTTACTCTCTATTATTAATTTCCTAATATTTTCCCCGTTTCGTGAAAATTCGCCTGCGCTATTTCCAGCACGTGCACTTGTCGGGAGAGGCCGTGTTAATGCCGAACCTATCGTCCTGTAATTCGAAGTTTGACGCGGTGGAGCTGCTGGTTCCGCGAGTTACAGGAATAGGAATCCATTAAGGGCTGATCGTGTGCATGCGTGCCGGAGCCCACGTTTAGGCAGTTGTTGCACATGCAAATTGTGCGGTCACTTCGCCTGCTTACTTCCCTTTTAACAGAGATGTTACAGTTCGCGTCAGAGCTGACGGAATTTCCCGTTTCGTGGTGTACAGTTCACGTCGTAGATTTCGTCCATAGGGGAGTGCTCTAGTTTACCCCCACCCTTCGGATAGAACTTTGTTAGCTCCGCCCACTTGCTCCCATCAGGAGCGCTAGCAGCTCTCAGAAGCACTAACGAGGCCTCAGGAGCGTTTAAAAAACTTCAAGAGCCCTCAGCAACCTTGAAATTTAATATTCTGAAAATTATATGACACACTAATAATCAAAAGATTTTAATACAGACTTGTCTCGATTATTGTCACGGGCTCAGTAACCTTATAGGGAGAAATGCTTCAGATCTTCGTAAATTCATTTCTTTTTGCCTGAAGCCCCTCCCCCCGGACAATAATCGTGTAGGACGAGCCTAGACGATAATCGAGGAGTTTGTAGTAGCCCTCAAGAACTATCAGGAGCACTCAAAAGCCTTCAAGAGTCTTCAAAAAAACTGAAATAAATATGTGTTTAGTTGTAAGTTTATCCTATTTGTAGGAAAAACTTGTAATCTACAATGATTTTGAGAATTTGAGAAAGTGTTTTGGAATGTTTAATTGTGCTATACGAGCAGCATTCTATTTTTTCCTAACATTCAGAGCAATTTGAAGGTTTTGTAATGAGTATCAGTGGTATAAATGTTTATACATGGGAAATATCCCAACATGAAAAGTCATAATATCCATCATGAGATACAGATATCCGTGCAATTAATGGTAGTTCCAGGCAGTTTGTAGTTTTAATGACGTTTCGCTCAAATATTTACTGTCACGAGTTAAATTTCAGCCCTGTGTAAATGCCAAGGAGTAGCCAGAACAGAGGATTTGAATTTTCCCCTATTTTATGGTCGAGTCAGGAAACCATTACCTCCGGAGTTTCGTTTTCTGGCTGCAGAAGGGACTTTTCAAGGATTCTGTGCGGAAAAAAAATAATAGTTTCAGATTTTTGTGTCGTCAGTGGAATATGGAGAACAATATTTAAAAAAATACCACGTTAACGGCAGAACCCAAATTGGAGCTGTAACTTTACCTTTTTTTTTCAAACTTTTAGGCTCTGTTCCATTTTCTAGAATACACAATTTGTAGCACAGAGTTCAAAAAGCAACGCTCTATTTTTTTTAAAAACCAGTAACGTAATCAGAACAGCACTTTAAATATAGTTAAACTTGAAGAATATTTCCCCATAACGCTATTACAATATATCACATTGTACAAATATTATTACATTTTTTTAAATATTTCTGACACGTTTTTATCTTACCAAACATATCCACTTTATAAAATAGAACGCTTAAAACCGGTCCACTATATGTTTTCACACACTGAAGGAAGGCTTCGTTCGTGTACAATGTTAAAACCTATAACGTACTTGTTTCCACAATTGAGCAGTGAATGAGGTAGCGAATAAAGCGTTGGACTGCCACGAAATCGGCCCGAGTTCGAATCCCCGATACTGCAATATAATATTTCCTCGACTTTTTCTCATTCGTTTTTTCCGATTCTAAATTCACATATTAATTTTCCAAATCCGTGACCTATTTTCAATGATATATGATAAAATTCGAAATGTTCGTCTCTGACGTGTTTCTGGTACCGAATAGGGGTAAATCAATGCTTCAGAGCTCCACGTTGTCTGTATACGTATATTATTCGATGAATTCTCTCGGCACAATGGCTAGCAGGAACACGTACGTTGGAATCGTCAAAATTCCCGTTTCAAAACCGATGACAAGGGAATGTGTGTGGTGGTTGTTGGAGATCGTTCCACGAGTTATATGATTAAGGGCAGGATTCGTTGCTCTGGTATGTTTGTTCACGAACGTTGGTTTGGAAACTGGATATGAATTGAATGGTGAAGCTTTCCCTGGATGGGATATATGCCCCCTGTTGTCTATACCTTGTAATCCCATGAATTCGCGAAACAGGAATTGGAGAAAAATAGCGGCCGTCGGGCGAACAATATGTCCCCCCCCCCCTGGACAATCCTGTTCCAGGAAAATTTGAGGGAAATCAGGAACAATGGACTTTAAAAGAATGGAAAATCTGATGCTGTTTGAGTCTCTGGAACGAAAAGTGGCAGAAATATTTGAGAGTTGGAGAGGGAAGAAATGAGACAATTAAAAGTGCAAATTAATTCAGAGAGAAAATGAATTCCACTTTTGAAAAGTGGAGTGTGCTAAATGTAAACTTCTGAATCTGTTGGAAGGGAAAAATCGAGGTGGACGTTATGAAACAGTGTGTTGTGTTTTTATGGAATGTCAGGACATGAGGAATATTGTGCTTGCTAATTAAAGGCAACAGGGAGGAGAAATACAGCGCAACGAGTCTGCCTCGATTTTAATCGGGGAGCAACGGTGAAGTTGAACAGCCTTTGTACTTGAAACTCTGCAAAGGTGCTGATTACTGCTAATTAGTTGGGACGAAATCCTACCTTTGCGTGACCCGTGAGAAACGAATGTACTAGATTGTACGTTAAACCAGAAAAAGAAATGCAAACCGTTATCAGATTTCAAAAAATTTTCTTGTTCACTTTCCTGAAGTGAACTATCATCTTAACAACTTTAAATGTCATTAATTTGCAAATTTCTTTTTCTCTTTGGAGATTAGTTGCAATTTTACAAAAATAGCATTCCAATTCTATGAATCATTTGCTACATAAAAGTATAATAAATATTAAAACAGTTTATTCGGATATAGTAATGTCGAAGTGAAAAATGATCCTCAAGCACGGGTATTCCATTTCCCATGTGGGTTTAATCCGACCAGCGTTGTGAAAGCACTTTTATTTAAAGATTATTTACCCGAAATGTTTCCTTTGTGACATTCCTCCGCCTTTATCTCCAATATCCGGTTTTGTATATTCGGGCTGTTTGGATTGTTGAAATCGATGTCCTCCTGGAAAAGAAATAGAAAAATATATTAGTCGAACGTTGTACATTCCAATTAACAAATAATTATACAAAAACATGATTGAAATAGTGCTTTCAAAAAAAAATCATCGCTCATCACTAAATCTCCTTTTTTAATTATTTATGGACCGACCTGTTATTTAAAAAAATTACGAGGAATGATCTTGTATGTACCGAGTATCCATTGTAATTTAAAAAAAAATGGACGATCGTGAGTCTTTACTGGAGTGATAAGAATCTGTTCAATTAAAAGTTAAATTCAGGTCTCGGTTGACAAACTGGCGGAGTAAAGAGAACGGGAGGTAGAAGAATGCAGAAAGAATCCTCGTTAAATCAGTTCGCCGTGAGTTCGAGCAACTGAAAAATGTTACTGTGAATCCCCGACACCGGTGGAATCCGTTGAATTTCCAGGATTCAGGCGTTCTCTCCCCCAATTGCCAAGTGAAAAGCTGCTACGACTGAGGTCAATCCTCGTGGAGATATTACACTTCCAAACCCTCTGGGAAAAGTGTATATCTTTCATCTGGCCTCTCTACTCTAACGTTTGCCATCCATTCATATGCATTTTTCATTTTTAAATCATCTGGCGATCCTGAGAAGCCACGTTTGCGATGATAGATGGGAACCTCCAGGATTTATCTGTTTGTAGGTGTACATAATTGAAGTACAAGCATATACTATGTAGAAGGAGAAGATCAGACCAGAGATCTTAGGCTTAATAGGCAACTGCTTTGACCACTTAGCTACTCAGGCCATCAACGTTTCTTCCTCCCCTAATTCATCTACTGTAAAGTAAGACAACGATAAATTAACAATTATTTTAAGAATTGTCCTAAATTTCAATACAATTAATGGCATCACTAGATACCCTAAAAACTTCCGAGGCTCCTAAAATTATCCTAGAGGTCTTCAACACTTTGCGGTCTTATACAAAGCGTACTTGACATTCAGTCTTCTCGCAATCATTCTTTATACAGTCTATGGAATTTATCTATACAATTTATCCTAGTACATTCGTAAACGTTAGGAACACGTGGCTCGATTAATGTATCAAAATCTAGGTAATTTATGTACTCTATTCCTGGAATCTCGAGAATACAGGAGCAACGCTATTACAAAGGGTTAGGTCTCTGTTAAACCTATCCGCTTTACCACCGACAATATTAATTCCTACATCCCTGTTTGACCAATCCTAATATCCTCTCCAATAAGATCTGCTTCCGCCCCGACCTGGCCATAAATTCCCTCCTCGACGTGAATCCAAACACAGCTTTTTCCTCCTTCTTCTCATCCACCCTTAAGAAAACGATATTATGTCGCTGGCCAGCCGGTTCCCGCCTCGTAACGAGCGAACAAATTTGCGGTCGGTCAGTTGATCGGTTCAATCACGGTGGACAGAGAGAGAGTGGCGTGTGCATTAGCCACGAGACGGCATTCGAGATCCAAAGTCTGTTCTCGATGGGCGTCGTAAAGATGAAAGAACAGACACCACGGGGCTGAACTCTCCCCCTTCCTCTTTTCTGTCTTCGATTTATTTGGGGTATCGCGGCCTGGAGTTCCGACGTACTTGGCCTACTTTCACTCTTGGAATTAGACGAGGTCTGGATCTATACTGGAAGATACAAATCATTAGGAATGTTCGTTTGCTAGTATGGATTTCTTTCTGGAAGACATATTTGAGCCTCGCTTCCATTTACAATTAACATAACCCAAGTTCTACTTTTTTGACTGTCTAATTTCTGATTCTACTTGGATCTAATTCACCCTTGGACTATTGGAATATTGAAGATCTCAAAGGATAGTTTTAACGCGAATATTTCCTTTTTGGAAGATATATTTGGGACTTGCATCTACTTCCGACGGACGTAACCTAAAAAATTCATGAATTTGACATTTGAAATATCTGATGTCTTATTCTATTTGAAGATATCTTGATAAATTGTAAGATTGATGTAGAAGCTAACATACCTATTTAAATGTAACCTAAAAATAAACTTCATTTGCAAATATAAAATCTTTGATACAGAGGTCACCGCTTTTTCTAGAAGACCAAAGCTGCTCTAAAACTATCCCACATTTAAATTAACCCTTTGCACTCAGAGATCGCCACTTTCCATCCATTTTATGCCTTCAGAGAGAACAACGTACTTAAAACTTCAAAGAATATAGCGTAAAAATGGGATCCCTTTTGACACAAAGATCCCAAAGGTTCAGCACCATAGTGGAAGGTCCTCTGAACCAAACGTTCAGCTTAAAAAGAGCATGTATGTACCATCAAGTTTTCAAGAGACTATATCCACTGTATATCGGTCCGAGTCTTCCGCCAGTCGAGTGCCCCGAAAATTTATACGTATACTGTTGCGCTTCTGTAATATGAGGACCAAAGGGACGGGGAGATTATCCTGGATGCCGTGATACATATTACAGAATCCACGCGTTTCGCATAGTTTCGCTAAACGAATCCTCTGAATCCTTACGAATTGCGACAATCATGACGGAATATTCATTTTAACCCTTTAACGCCCAGAATTTTAAATCATCATTTCAGAATCATCACCTCGATTGTTGCATTTCTGTATAAATAATAAAAATAGATATTATTTTCTACTTTTTAGGGCATTTCGAAGCAGGTCCACATTTTTTCAAAAAGCTTTTCCGGTTAAGGTATCGCATATTCTACACGATTATTGTCCAGGCGTTATTGATGCTGAGGTTCGGGCAAAAAACGAATTTACGAGGGTCTGAAGCATTCCTCCCTATTGGATTATTGTCCCGGCGCGGACCCAAGTTCGGGACAATAATCGAGAGGTGTCTACATCTTCAAATTTCGAAATTTTCCCGCAATAATAATTCTGTTTTCGTATTCTTCCCTAATAGTAAATTCTATTTCTCAGTTTCGCAAGCGTCTGTTATCGTAATATTTCATAAATTACAGTCGCAAGTGCTTGGAACGCGGCGAAATATCCTAAATTTAGACGCTGCAGCGATTAATCGTCTCACGGATGGTTTTCCTTGGCGTGGATCGTGGCGAACACGTGAAAGAAGCCTCGAGTTTGATGTACGTAACCGAGTTAACCGAGTTTCCGTAGTGTTTCGACCGTGGAAAACGAAATTAACATCGGCCAAGAAGAGCCGTCGAGACTCTTTCTTTCGGCGTCGCTAATTTCGATCCGGTTTTCGCTGTTCCGCGAACATTACGAAAGTTCTTTTTACGAGTTTACGCGGTTAATGGGACACCAGCAGTTTTCAACCAGTGGACGGTCCTTTGTTTGGTAATTGAGTTCGAGTTTCGCGTTCCTTTTGAGCAGAGCGAAGCGGGACGGCGAGATGGAGGCCAAGATGGCGGCTCGCGACGCCACGCCATTTTGTTTCAACAGTTTCAACTGGCGGGGATGTGTCGTAAAGATGGCGAGTGATGTGGGTCAGCCGGAGACCCTAACTGTTATAACCACAATCTGAAAAGTGACGATATAAAAGTTAATATCTTTGAATGATTTTGGTTACGAATAACTATTATAAATGATTGAAATTTTGTTTGGTTATCAGTATCAATTATCGATAGGAATTTACTTTTGGTTATGAATAACCATTATTGGTTACGGAAATTATTATATTGGTTAAGAATAACTATTATCAATGACGGAAATTGTTTTTGATTAAACGGTAACCAATTATAAATTATTATACGTCATTTTTTCGAATTATTAATCACAATTTAAAATTCTGTCATTAATCAAAATTGTTATTAGTGTTTAGTTGTTTTGTAGTATGTAATTTGTAATAGATTTTAAATGAAAAGAATTAAAATTTCTGCTGTATTTGAAACACTGTTTTTTCTGAAATTTTTACCATAATACGCGACGATGTTTGTTAACTTCTATATAAAAAAAAAAGACTGCCTCGAAACGTAACATGCAACGCGTTTCCCCAGTTTTTCGTAGGACGGATAGAAAGAAAATAATTTCACGTCACTTCGACGGATATTAACAGCTCCATTAAGGCGGCGAGTGTGTACAAAAAGGTTGGCCAACCCCGAAAGTGTATGTGCACAAGGCCGATTTTTTTTAAAGGGAGAAGAGAATAAGGATTGACAAAGAGTATTTGCTGTCGCTCCATATTGAAAGGAGTGGCCAAAGGTGTTATGTCCCTCTTCTCCTTTTATTATACCTGGCACATTCGCCGAAACAGGCTTGCAGCCATCCAATGAGATCGCAAACACTGCCTCAGACCCTTATTTCCAACACACAAATCATTGTTGGGTCTCCTATGAGTAATCCAATGTTTTCGTCACCAGAGATTAAATTTTATGGAAATTCAATTCTTTCTGTTTAACTTATAATATTTACTGCAGTAATCTGATGAAAAAAATTGTACTTTAACCTGGATCACAAACACTGCCTCAAACCTTATTTCTATGTAGGATACATAATTTTATGTTTTCATCAATAGTGATTAAATTTTATAGAAACTCCACTCCTAAGAATTTATTAAATACAGCATGCTTGAGAAAATCGTTTTATGGAAATACGTATCGCGTTCTGTCTGCCATTTGGTCACTGGATACGAAAGAATGCAGTTTATCACAAGGATCAATCGATAAAAGTTACTTTTAGGAAATATAATGTTGTTTATTGTTTAATCAAATATTGTTTAGCAAAATTGAATTTTGATGTACTATCGACAATTGCCCTAGATTGAGTCTTGAAACTTCATGACCGAGATGAATTTACCACTCATTCTCGATAATTATTAAACTTATATAACAGTTTCTCCATGAAAATTCTTTAATTATTCATGTTGCCCGATCATCGTTTATGTAAATTTCCAATGCACCTGGCGAAATTTATTCGTAATGTAATCAAGAAAAATCCGATTTATGTTTATTATTGACGTGGTAATATTATTTAATCAGCTCAACTCTTCGATTACCTTGAAATTCAATACTGAATTTAATATTTCCATCGATAAAATTGCTGAGCAAGGAATCACTGGTTTGTTCATTTACTAGAAAACAAAAATATGGACCCTTATTGTCAAATTTAATCATGAAGAAGAAGGTCCAATTGTCACCGGACATAGATTCATTTCGGAGAGCCAGAAATTTTAATTAAATAATTCCCTGCCAGCCTGGACGAGACCTGAATATTCTTTTCTATATTTCCATAGTGTCATGGATGAGTTTATTTTTCTGGAAATTAATATCAGTTTACGGATAAAAAACGCACTCACGTATGTGTCCATTTTGTTGGTCCGGAGCTTCGCGTGCAGATGACGTCAACAGATCCTCTGTAGGCAGCCTGGAACAAAAGAAACATTGTTTATTCACAATTCTACATTGCATGCCTGTGTTAAACATTCATCAGAAATTAATTATTTACACTTCTCGCAAAACAATATTCATTATTGATTGGAATACCTTTCAAGAGAAATGAAATAAAACCTAAAAAATTTAATATTTTCATTTCTTATAAAATAATATTCATTGTTAATAGAAATACCTTTTTGTAAATAATAATAATAATGGATAGTACTGTTTGAGAAATAAAACAATACCTCGTTGTGAATAATAACCTCACAAAATGTCACTGGAAAAGGTCAGTGTCTCCGAAATGTCATCAATAATAAATTGATAAAATTTCTCCTATAATGAAAAATAAAACAGGAATATTAGTTTCGATTGAACAAATCTGTCCTGAAATTCAAAATAAAACAGAACTGTTGGTTTCGATTGAAAATATTTGTTCTGAAATTAAGATTTAAACAGAAATGTTGGTTTCGATTGAAAAAATTTTTGGTAAAAGTGAACATAAAAAAGAATTCTCCTAACTTGAAGATTCAAGTTCGATCGTCTGATGCTTCGGTTAGTTCGTGAAAGGGTGCAACTCACTTGACTCGCCAACCCTCTAAAATTAATGTCTCCTGGCTGTTATGCTTCGTGCTCGTAATTAAATGGCCCCGAAGAGCTAATCAACGAAATCACGAGATCGCAAAGTGACGACATGAAAGATGACTGTGGTATCACCGCCACGCCCCTGTTTGTCGTTTCATTAGCCGCATATTAGGCGACCACGGGGGGCGGAGGGTGGGCCCAACCCCTTACACGTTCGCGATAAGTATTTTCCTATCGACCCCCTTCATCATCGCTATCGAATTATTGGCCCGACGGGGATCGTTTGTTCCGTTCAATCAGTAACCGAAGTCCTCGAACAATTTCGATACGACTTAATTGCCCCTTTATTTACCCCATTTTACACCCCCCAAACCAAGGTGAATGGCCATATACATACGTGCTACGCTATCCAGTATCTGAGATTCCAAAAAGGAACGAATTTTGAACGGATTCTTGGATACTTTTTAGTCAGAAAACGTTTCATTAATTGTTCTAGGCGATACCATCCCCTGGCCTTATATGGAGGGGATACATGAAATGGAAAATAATAATAAAAGAAAAGTCTATTTTCTAAGTCTCCTACGTAATAAACATACAGTTTATTTTTTAGATTCAATTTTGACAGAGGTATCACCCAGTAATCGCGTGAATGAGAAACTACCCCCTAGCCTCGTATAAAGAGAACATATATAAAATAGAATATAGTCACTTTTCTGAGAATCCTACGAAAGTAATATTTACTTCATTTTTTAGATTGAATTTTGTTAGAAAAATCATCCCTTAATCACCTCTACGAGAAACCACCCCCTTGCTCCTCTGGAAATACAAAGGATAAATGAACAAAGGGTAGAAAAAATATTCTCGGAGGCCGCAGTGGCTCTTACGAAGCGATTCAATCATAAAATCAAGTGACCACGAGTTTCAACCCCTGAGAAATGGTTGCAAACTATAGTTTTTCGACTGTTAATCCGTAATTTGTTCCGACATGAATGTACTTCCGCGTTCGGTTCGGGTGGAATCAGATTTACGCACGAATTCAGTCGGTTTCTTTGAGAGGATTCACCCCTAACGAGCTCCGGATGCATGCTTCGATTACCCAGGCGTAGGCGGAGAGAAGATTGTGGATTTCGACAAAGAAACGGGGACATCGATAGGGAACGCTACCGAGAACTCAAAACCGAAACACGATCCTCCCATATAAAGCTTGGGGATGATGGGGGTGAGGGTAGTGAAGTAGGTTTCATTATTGGTAAAAAAAGACAAGGATTGCTTGAAGACGTCGAAAAAAGAAGTACGAAAAGTTTCTGCCATATACCTTCAGCAATACTTTTTTTAGTAAAAATTAATTAGGGAATGATGAGGGTGGACTGGATTATTTGTACACAACTGGTTATATAGGGATGGTACTCGAACCTCTAACTTTTCACTTAAATTAATACATATTCCCAACATCACCTAATCCCTGGAAATATCCTCCAATCAAGACATTTAAATCACAAAACTGTCTGTAACAAATTCTCCACGTATACCGAAGACGTCCAAGAAATATCATAAACCCCTAACTTTCCAACTCTGCAACCAGATTCACTGCCATCATCATCATCATCACTCAATCCCTGGAAATATCCTCCAATCTTTGCCAAGTTATTCACTCCCACCACCATCATCATTGCCCAACGCCGGACACCAGCTCCCCCAATCACCATCAAGCCATTCCAAAACGACCAAAACGTCTGCCCCGAATCCTACCTACCAAAGGAACCAAAGTAACCCAGTCATTCATCATCCAGTTACCCAAATCAGAGTTTCCCTTCGTCCACACCGGTCGAGGATGAATTTAGTTTGAAATGTACCTCACCTAGGGCAAGGGTGGATGCAAACCGTGTATACACACGTGCACACGACGGCCAGAGAGAGAGCCCGTGACCCATTTAGTGACGAAATCCCTCAAGTGTGTGGCACGCCCGTCACCCGGCTTCTCGCGAATCCGGTGCCCCGCAAATCCATCGGATAAAACGAGATTTCGTCGTGATTCATTGTCGTTTACAGAGCTTTGTTATCGCGCCACGGTTTTACGGTCGCCCTTTACGAGCCGCCGCGGCCCTTTACAGCCTCGATGATGTCGACCAAGAGGAAAACCCGCGCAAGAACAGTCTTCGACTGTAGGACTTTAAAAGACTTCCTGGAGGATGTCGTTTCTCTCTTCATAGAGACGCTGCCCGAGGCCGGCTGAAGGGGGTGGGGACGCCAATAAACTCAGCGGGTGGAACTTCTGAACCTGTCTGTTGCTTTTGATAGAAAGGAGCATCTCGCTCAAGGAAATACCACCAGAGGAATTCTTTTTTCCTACGGATATTTTTCTCCGCAAAGCATTTCTTCAATGGTCCGGTGCATTTTCAATTCCTTCTAGTACGCAGGAGGTATTAGCATGCTGCTTTGAATTAGTTTCAGGCTTAAAATAAGCTCGGAGACCCTCATTCAGACTGATCTAATTTTTTTACTTTGTTGTAAGGAATTGTTTTTCCTGCTATTTTCTTGCAGTGTTTCTTCAATGGCCAGGTTTATTTCCACTTGTTCATTAATGTGTGACGATTGTGTGTTTGGAGACCTTCTTTCAGAGTATTGTAATTTTTGTACTTTGTTCTTCTGTGTTTCTGGAAATTTTAAAGTAGATAATTTTTCATATTCCAGAAATTGTGAAATAATAAAGGAAATATGTGTACATTTACATACTGCTGTAACCACTTTCGTTACCGGTACAAGACAGCGTCTAGAGTTTGAGAACCTTCTTCCATTTTTTATCTGATATTTCTCCAGTATTTGTTGAGTTCCTTTCTTCTGTATACTCATAAATCAGTAACTACGAAAATTGAAATGATGTAACTGTACTTCTATACTTTTATGCTATGCTACTCTGTATCAAAATATCAGGTCTGAAGCAGTATCGAATTTAAGTCTCCTAAAACTTCTACTATAAATATTCAATAAATGGTTCCATAATTAATTATACTTTTCAATTCAAATATCGATATTTTGTATTGATATTTAATATGACGATATATTCTAGTATTGATACTTAACCCACAAATATCAAAATATTGATAATATTGCTACATGTACCGTAACGTAACAGGTCGTAAGTAAAATAGACCAATCGCAAGCTTCCCATAAAGTTTGCGATTGATCGATTTCTTTCACACACTGTTACCTAAGAATTTGCCTTACTAAATATCCATTTAATTAAATGATTTATTTTCATTCTTGGATTTTATTACTTCCAATTTAATTGTAAGTATCGATACTGATAATAACGATATCATATGCCCGATGTACATGTGTATCGATTCGATTCAAATGTATCGCCATCACTAGTGCAAACTGCATTTCCATCATATTATCAAGATAGCGAATTTCCTATTGATGCATGTAATATTCTACCAGAGTAATGAAACTCAGTTAATTAACTGATCAAGTTCGAAGCTCAAAGCCAGTCCAGACTGAGTTAAAATAGACCCCCTCTGGGTTCAACTTAAAGTAATAACCGAGAACTTGTTGCTGGATTATAGAGACGAGCGCCACAATTGGCCACAAATTCATTGTTTCCCGGTGATAATTAATACACAAATTTGCGGAAACTAGTTAACGTTGTAACGTTCTACTATAATGGAACGATCCCTACCAATATCAGGAAATATTTTCAAGAGACAATTTCATTGGCTGTCAACGGAATATATACATGTAAGACAAATATTATCCACAGTTTCTGAATATCACTGATAATCAACCTATACCGCGCATGCTATCGATTATATGTCTTCTCGATGAACATTCTGCCTCGGCCAGAAACAGAAGTTCGAGGAAACGTTTCGTTTCAGCGATAGAAAATTTTTTTTTTCTCCTTTTTTTTCATTTAGTACAAACATACTTTTCACGTGTACACGTAATCCGTACTTTTTTTTTACTGTTGTCTATAACATCAAACTAGATTTTTCGTTGTATCGATGGTAAAGCAGAGAGAAAAATTCGTTCCACGAGTTTACAAACGAAATACGGGATCGTAACTTCACTTCCATGACGATTGCACACTTGTTTCGCTCGCAAAAACTGTCACTATTTATCGCTCTCCTGAACACGTGTCTACAGTTTACGATCGATTTATAAGATACACAACCTTTCCCCGGTTTATTTATCCTCTCTAACCCAGTTACGAAACTTTTTCCCAATATTCCATACAGCTATTCCCATTTCTATACACTAAATCCTTCAACGTTTTTAAAAAAATAATTACAGACACGAAAACTTCAGGATAAACTGGGAATCTTACGAAGAATAACTTTTTCTCAATAGTATGCTCTATAAGAAGTTATGCGAATTCAAAATCAGGGGACGCAAAGTCGCGTCACGTAA